TTTGTGTTTTCCTGGGGGGGGGGGGTCCCTCCTAACATTCCTCCCAGGCCTAAAGGATCTAGTATTAATTGGGGGGGGGGGAACCTCACGCTTTCCCCCCCTCTTCTGCAGACTGTAGAAAAAAAATTGTTTCTCAAAAGTCACTTTGCTGCAATGAACGAACGAAAGGAAAACAAAACAAATTTCGGAATCGGAAATTCGGATTTGTTTGCATTCATTTTATCTGTAATTTGGAATTCGGATACATCCGAATCTCCGAATTTCCAAAATTTCGTCCGAATTTCGATTCGGAACGAAACGAATCACACATGTCTATTATTTAGTAGCTTTAAAAATATTAGGCAAAATGTCAAAATATTTAACAAAAATACATACTGATGCACAGTCATAAAGATACAGATAGAATAGAGACACTATAAACTTTATACATGTATGATGTCCACTACGACTGCCTTACAAATCTTCCTTTCTGCAAAATAATTGTTTTTTGCATGGCCAGAGGTAGCTCTACGCAGGGCCATGTTTTTCTACAATTTGACAAAGATTTGATAAATACAAATTACTTTTGTTAAATTCTCATTGCAAAAATTACCCGTAAGGACAGATAAGAAGGGGAGTTATCTCAAAATGATTTTCCAGTGTAGTGTATTTAAAAATCATTTTCTGCAGGTGGCTTTTTTTCTAGAATGTTATCAATGCAAAAGTTTATTAAGAACTCTAGGCGATTATGATCTAAAATATTTACCAAAGATCAAACTGCAAAAAGAAGCAATGACTGATCACCTTAAGCTGCATGATGTACACAAAAACAGTACAAAATGTACAGCAACATAATCTACTCTTTCACAATCATATTAATATTGAAACATTATGCAATCATCATTAATATTGAGAAAAACTGGACTGTGCATCATCTGGCTCCATAATTTTATATATAAATGGCAATGATTGTCAATGCTGAAGCCAGCTAAGCAAGCTATAGTGTTCAAATAACATGCTAGGGAAACTGTGCCATGATAAATATATACTGTATGATTTTAGATGCAGTTAACACATTGAATGCACCTACCATCTTGGATGTATCTGGCTAGATATTTCTTGGCTGCAGGAGTACAAAAAAGAGTAGATCAGGTAGTTACATAGTATTTGTGGTAATGGACCATGCTGTGGGCTTTCAAGAAAAACCATCATGGGTTTGCGTAAATTTCTCTTCATTTTTTTAGTAACATGATTTTTAAAGAGACTCTGTTACTTTAAGAATACTGATAGCTGCTGACAGATCTGACATACAGGAACCCGGGGGATCCTGCACATACTTTCAGCAGCTTTCAGTGTCCTTTGCTTCACCAGAATGCTGGAGCATTCTGATCAGGCAAAGCTTTAGCATGTCCTAGATAAAGCTTGCCTGCGCCTTCTGTACATTCCTATAGGCTAGTGAAGCAGCCCATCATGCTAATGAACTAATAGGAATGTGGGGTCAGGGCTTAGCAACAAGCTCCAAAAATCTGATGGAAATGTTGAAGCTTTAACTAATGATAACAGCCCAACATATGAATAAAGAAGATAATACAGATAGCTGCTGCAGGTATGGAGCCTCTTCAAACTGATATTTTGTATCTGTGCTTTTACTATATGCAACTAATTTTTGTTTTCCAAATAAACATTCAATGTATCACAACGAATTTCCAAAGCACAATGGGCTAACATAAAAGACCATACAACAGATGTACTCCCTTTTCTTTACAGCTGTCTATTTGTAAATCTCTGTACTGAGCCATTGGATAAGGGATATGTGATTGCTGAGAATTGATTGTAAAGTTCACTTTGGCCTATCAATGTTTGTAGACAACAGCCTTTTTTCAATACATTGTAGGGAAAGAGATTACTGCAAGGAGCCTAGAGTTCCACCTGGTGGCTGTAAAAAATGCTACATAGCATGTGCAAGTAATATTATATTTTCCTGGCAAGAAGTATTTTTATTTATATTTATATATATTTTTCCATGGCCAGAATATATACAAAACCACTGTGCAATGGTTGGACATACAGTACAAAGCAAAATCACAGGTTTGGCCATTTAAAAAAAAAAAACCCCTGAATAGGGCAGCTTGCTTTGTCTTGTCTTGGTTGGCACACTCACCAGGTCAAAAGCAAGCAGCCTCTTCAGCTGTATGGTAATGTTTTTGAATAGCCAAACCCGTGAAATTGTTAAGTACTGTATGTTCAACTATTTGCATTCACAAAAACCTGTGTTGTGGGTGGTGATAGACATCAAGCTTTCTCACCATAATGAATATGTGTTGACAGATTTTCTATGGACATGAGCAGTGCTTTCCTAAACTGGGTTGATGGTAAAAGGGGAGTATAGCCAGTAAATAGCTCATTCACTTTTTTCCACAGTGGAGGGAATGATTCAGAATTGGCTGTGCATAGATTTGTCAATATGTGGGAAAATTACTGCTTCTAATAAGAACCACTTAAAGTTTCCAGGAGCTCTGATTACCTCTCTGGCACTAACCTCTACATAACCATGTCTTAACAAACAATGCTTACATTTGTTGCAATGCTTGTTTATATTGAACCATATATGCCCCCACCCCAATAACCTTGTCAATGTATTCTAAATAAGTGCATTTTACTATCATCTTAACTAAATAATTCCATGTTAATTGGTAAATATTAGTCATTTTTAGAACTCTGCTACTTACCAGTGGCTAAATTCTTAATTTGTAACAGTGATCTTGCCTAAAGATATCTTGACATTTTAAATCGAATACTATGATAATTTCTGTTCCTTGGGTAATATACATTACCCAAGGGAACTAATTATTTTCATATAATTGTATTTGTTTTCTCACCAACATGGTTATGGAATGTTTACCAGCGGATTTACAAGAGTGTTTAAACAAATGAGCGGTGATTAAGGATCAATAAATAATAAGGAGAGGTTAATGCTTAGTTGGCTCTCTAACTTTTTTATTCACTTTATTGCTGCATGACCCCTGCTATGAAGACAACACACAAACCTGTGTATTTTAACAGTGTTAATAATTACCCAAAAGAGCCTAAGCGAATATGTTGTGGTTATCTTAAGGATCTATCTGACTGCAAAATGTAAGAACAAAGGTGTGTTTATCAATGGAAAAGCAGACAGGGACTCTCATCTGATGCCTCAGATAATATTCTGGACAAATGTTTGTCTATGATAGAACAATTCAGTAAGTTAGCGTAAGCTAAAGTTTGTAAACGTAAGTGTTTTACAACATAAGACTTTTTTTTGAAGATGGTGTTAGTGGTTGAGTCACAATTTGTACAATACTATTCACGACATGTCAGAATGTGATGGCAAATGAGGGTCAAATGAGGATCAAAATAGGGGGTGGTTTTGTGCACATCACAATTGCGCAGCACAATGGATATACCCACCATATGGAAATGCAGCAAACTGATTCTTTGAGATACGCTGCTTCAGCTGCGACAGCTGTCTATGCCCACACACCGCTCTCCTGATCTGTCACAGGAGGCTGAACAGGGCAGGAGGAGAGCCCAGCCTTTTGTGGCATGCTGGCTCTCACATCACTCTCCTCCCCCTTTTGGCCTTCTGTGACAGTTTCTCTCCTCCCCACTGGATGCTGCACTGTGTCAGAGGGGACACAGAGCAGTGCCCAGTGAGGAGGAGAGAAACCAGGAATACACCGCAATTTCGTCAGAAAGATGGCACTTTCTGCAGTTTGCCAAAAGTGCAATTTTCGGCCGACATGTTTTGGCGGCCGAAATGTAGGTGCATCCTTGGTTGTATATGTTGTTCTTTTTTAAAATTCTTTATTTGACAACAGCATTGTGCAACAGTTTACTTGTCAATGCAGGGCGTCCGCCCAACACTGGTGTCAGTTGTAATCATGTCACATCATATATGCATCCCGAACAAGGAGGGAGTGCAAAATTTTAATGCAAGTCACATTACCATAAGCGTAAACATCAGTTGGTACATTCAAAAATTTCCCAGTTCGTAACAGGGTCCTCACACCCTACAGTACCATTGTGCCTATCGCGCCCCCCACCTTTATATTGACCTCTCCACTGAGAGTGTAGTACACCATTATTCACTATCGTGGTGGGGAAGTGCATCTCCAAGTGATTGTATACACTCCGGTAGAATTGTACTTGATCACACAATCCTGTTATCTAGTAGTAAGGGGAATGGTCTACCTCATTCCCTACAAGTAGAAGAAAGAAAAAGAAAGGAGATTAGAAACAGATACAGCAACAGGTAGAAAGCATGGTGGTGGTGGTCCGGTCCCCCCAGGGTTTAGACCACCTGATCCGCAGCCTGATCAGGCATGGCCTGTTTGTACATGCCCGAGTATCTGAAGTGAAGCCATGCTCCCCATGTAGGGCAGAGGCGTTCCTCGGAGTTGTGCATGGAAGCTGTAAGATCCTCCATGCGGTAGATGTCATTGATTTTCTCAAACCACATGCGTATTGTTGGGGGGATAGGCTGTTGCCATAGTATCTGTTGTTCTTAACAAATAAAGATTTCTAGTGAAATGGAAGTTTGTGCTAGGTGCTCCTAACCACCCAGAAGTTGTTTATCTGGTGAATGATTGGACTATAATGATCAGAAAGGCAGCATCCTAGCTCCCCGACCCAGGTTAATACCTCTACCATAAACAAGGTTCCGTACAGAAATGCATATTTTATCTATTATTTGTTTTAATTAACCTCTGCTCACATCATTTCCAACTCTATCACACACCCACCAGATATGCAGGAGGAGGGTAAGGATGGCTTTCTGTGCAAAGTAATGGCAGTAGGCATATGTTCTTCTGGGTAAAATAATGATGGCTGAGTACCTGTCATTGCTTTGTAGCACATGCCATAAAAAAATTATAAATGGGGTGTTGGGAAAAGCTGTCCTGAAAAATCTGGGCATGGAGGTGATCTGGAAATTTTTTTTCTTCAACAGCAGCAGATATCTGTGCCGATTCTGAGTATTCCGAGCACGAGTACTTCCAGTATCAGGAAGCCGGGCAGCCTGCCATTACACACTGCCCGGTTTCCCGATTGACCGGGAAGCGGCTCCATGCTCTCTCGTCCAGATGGCTCCGGCTGGGTACTGGAGGAAGGCCGCGTTCTCGCTGGAGAGGCCCCGGGGTTGACAGGCTGCACATACTGGTACTAAGGTAAGAGGGGACTTTCTTGTTAATCGGGAAGCCGGGTGGTGAGTCTTTACACGCTGCCCGGCTTCACGCTGCACGCCACCTGGCTTCCTGAATGGGACTTCCGTTACTCGGTAATTGGTATCGGTGAGTACTGAAGAAAAATTATCGGTACCAAAATACCGGTATCGGTGCATCCCCAGCAGCAATTGCTCTTACGCAGTGATGAGGGATCCCTCCGCCACAGTGTGCTGTACTTTTCCTTGGGGGGCCCAGACATTAAACCACAATAGACCAGCCCTGGGGTAGAGCAGCACAAGAAAGACTAGTAACTGTTCTGCATTCTTTAGAAGGAGGAAGATGGCGCATTAGCAGGCTAGAAATAAATGGCTGATATGTGCCTTGGGGAGGAGGAGGAAAAGGGCACATTAGCAGACCTCAAATAAATGGATGTTACATGACCTTGAAGAGGAAGAAGAAGAGAAAAAGGGTGCATTAGCTGCTCCCACCAAACTTTGTGGTGCTCTGTGAGTCATGTGTTGATGGCGCTATCCATGATAATTATACTGTTCCACATACAGCTTAAAGGCATCTGCCAAACATGTATTTGAATGAATTCATGTTTATTCCTTGTCACACTCAAAGTCACATACATCATCTCCCTGATGAACCTTATTTTTTTACATTTTATTTCTACATTGGCACATATGTCCCCCATAGCAGTTCCCAGCTCCCTATGCACATTGTTTGACAATATCTTGTCTGTTAGTATTGAATTTGGACAGAACAGATTTTCAGGATTAGCCCACCAAAAACTTTAGGGGGGATTGGTTTAAAGTGTGCAACTTCTAGGTTTTATGCTTGGTTTGATGAACAGCTCGTAGATGAAACCCAAGCTGATTTGCTTATTTCTATACAAGGGTAAGTGAAAACAGATCAAAATATAAAAATAATATTGTACCTATAGTTTTAGCTTTAACAGTCATATCTCACACACTATAGAACAGTTTGACTAATGTTCTATATACGGGATATCTGAGTTGGGGCCCCTGATTTTGCTAAAGGCCTGTACATACTATTCAGTAAGTGTAATGCTACTGAAAGCTGTCAAAAACTGGAGACATTTAACATATTCTTAAAGATGATAGATATGCTACAGAAGGAAGTGGTCAGAGTCTGCAGAAATGCTACAGCAGGCAATTTTTTAATGTTATTTTATTTATTATTGGTATTTATATAGCACCAACAATTTTTACGCAGAGCTGTACATAGTGCACACTTACATCAAGTCCTGCCCTTAAGGAGCTTGCAATCTAAAGTCCCTATCTCACTTCCATAAATACAGGGCCAATTTAGACAGGAGCCAATTAACCTACCAGCATGTCTTCGGAGTGTGGGAAGAAACCGGAGGAAATCCACACGAGCACAGGGAGAACACCTTGCAGATAGTGTTCTATCCGGGATTTGAACCAGGGACTCCCAGTTCTGAAAGGCTAACCACTCTGCCACTGTGCTGCCCATCATATTCTTTGAACATGCTACAGTTGTTGCAGACTGGAGAAATGCTTTAAAAGGCCTTCATATACTAAGGACAGATTACATGTGACTGCCAAAGATTGCCATTATACATTGGTGCTCCCATATCTGTGCAGCTTACAGCCCCCATAAAATTACTTCTCTTAGCAAGATCCATTGTAGAACACTAGAGCAAGAAAAATTAGAAAAGGGATGGACAGCACAGGAACTACAATAGTGTAAAGTGTGAGTCCACTCACTTGGTTAGCCATTCCTTCAAATTATTGGCTCCAGTAACTGAGTTGACCAGGGGGGGGGGAGGCTAAACACTGCATTATAGGTTGTTTCCAACACCCCTGCCTTGTTTCCTGGGCTCCGATACCCCTCCTACGGGCCCAGGACTGGCTTGCCAGGTGTCAGCAGGAAGCTGGGGAGGCTATCACCTCAGTTCACCGATCTCATCCCCGTACTATGGAACCGGGAGTGACGTGTATTGCATCACTTACGGTCCCATATCTGTCATTGCTGGGCTCCACAAGCCCAGTTATAAGCTAATGAAGTGTGATCTGCACTTCAATAGCATATTTAGAGTATAAAGGTTACACTTGGGGTATTTTGGACCCCCAGCATCACCTTAAAGAGTACCTGTCACTGTCAATATGCTATCACATGGGTGCTTGTAAGTCCCCCTATGTGATAGCATTTAAAGTAAAAAATAGTATTAAATAAATGAAATGTCCCCCTTCCCAGCGGGCACGCGTGTCATCATGTAAAAATGCGTTGGGTGCGCCTACTTATGAAAACGACGATTGCGCTACACATGTTGGGTATAACCACACACGCCAGAGTGAGAGCAATAATTCTGGGGCCAATATTTACACATATCTCTAAACTGATGACCTGTAGTGGCTTTTAAAGCGTCGTCTATGGACTTTTTGGGGTACTGAATTCTGTTGCGGTTTCACGGAACCCACACCATTTTTAACCTGGGCATGTTGGGTATGTATTTACTCATTGTAACCTCATTGTTTATATTTTACAAAAAATTGTTTTATATATTGTTTTGGGAACTTAATTTAACTTAAGTGCATTTTTTCACTACATTTTTGGGTTTGATAATAACTTGGGCTAATGTCATGCAACATAAAAATTCTGCCACCATTTTATTCTATAGGGTCTTGGCTTTCAGAAAATGTGTAATATTTGGGGGTTCTAAGTAATTTACAGGCCCAAAATGTGGATTATAACAAAAAAAAAAGGCCTTGGTCCTTAAGGGGTTACATTTGTGATCACGAACTTTGCAAATCCTGGGGATTTGCCTCATCTCTAATGCTAATAATGTATCCTATCCTGGAACTTCCCAAGGGGTATATTTATAATTTGTTTCACACAAGATTCACACAACTTTCACACAAGAGCCACACATTTTTCTAAATGTATTCAATTATAAATAGACTCCCAAGTGTAAAAGAGAGATGGCCTTTTTTTTACATGAGCACTAAAAGGATTGGCTACTGATTGGCTACCACCAGAGGGACTAACAATTTGTAAAACAACAGCAAGAAGCAGCACAGAGAGGTCCTGCTGTGGAAATAAGAAAATAATAGATCTAAAATATTTGGTGTGAATCCATTTAGTGTATGTCAATAGCTTGCAGCAAGTCTAAACAAATGGAACGTTAATATATTATTATATATTATTTATGACAGAGATATAAGGATTTTGTTTTAAACACAAAAAATACTCACCTAGCATTATTGGTACTATGTAGCATTATTGGTAATGCCTGCGGTAGTTTTTTCATAAAAAGGAACAAGTCTGTGAAAGAACTGTGGGGATAATAACAATATACACTAGATGACGCTTCATCTTTGTAGATACTGCAGAGTGCATATCATATAGGTCTATAAATCTGTCAGATGCTGGTGTTGTAAAATACAATTCCCTATGCTAAACTGTCAGTAAAATGGTGTTTGCTTTATTGCCTTTGCTGCATTACACCATTGCTGGCACTATGGAACTGTAAAACTCGGTCTTTAGTAGAAAAAAAAAGATTACTTGCTATAGAGGTTGGTATGATTATGGACATGAGAACACTATGGGGGTTATTCACAGAGCTGCTGAACGCAGCCGAGTGAATAACCCAGCTGAAGTGAAGTGAGCCAAACGCCGTTTGGCTATTCACTTCTGGCTTGTATGGCTAATTTCAGCTGTACACTGAGCCGAAGTGCAGAAGGAGTTCGACTCAGCTGATTCAACATGTGGATCAGCTGAGCCGCAGCTCCGGCAGCTCACTCGCTGCCGTTCACCCCTATTCTCATAGGTGCCAAACGGCAGTAAGTGAATGGCCAAATGCCACTGGCATTTGGCTCAGTTATTCTGCCAGGTACCTCCGTGGTACCAAGCAGGATAGAAAATCAGTGAGAAGAGTTAAAAAAAGTTTGAAAAAAATATTTTTTAAATGTAAACAAATAGTAAAAGTAAAAAAGAAATAAAGATTTTTAAAAAAGAAAACAAAACATTCTTACAGAGCTAGCAGTGACAGCTAGCTCCACCCAACTTTTTCCTATTGGCCGGCACCTTCTAGAATCTTCTAGCAGGTCCCGACCAATGAGCAACTGGGCGGAGTTGGCCGAGATGTCATGGCCGGCTCTGCCCAGTTGTTATTGTTTAATGACAGATCACTGTCCCCAGGTCATTTGGGGATGCTGAGCTGTTATTACAACTGGGTGGAGCAATCTGTGAGATCACAGCTGGCTCCGCTGAACTGTCATTTGCGGGACTTGCAGCCGGCCTTCGGCAGGCCATTCGCCCCGCTTCCGTTGACACTTTGACTCAGTTGAGCCAAAACATATGCCTTTGGCTCAGCTGAGCCGCTCAGCCACCTTCGGCTGCTGTCCGGGCTATTGTGAATAGTCCATACAGCATCTCTACGGTTCGATTGAACCGAAGGGCTCCGGCGGCCGAAGAGAGCTGAATGATCAGCCAAAGCTAGGGCTGGATCCTTTGGCTCCTTCGTGAATAACCCTGTAAATCTCTAAAATCACTGATATATTGCTGCAGAGGTACAAGAAGAGAGTGGATCAAGTCTTCACTGACCTGTAAAAAATATTCCTTGTCACTCTTTTCTTTAGGCCACAATAAATACATTGGATGCTCTGGATAACATTTGCTTTTATTTCAAAGTTGTCAAGCAGTCACATAAGCATGGGCATGTCATTCAGAATTTTAGCAATAGCAAACCTGTGAAAATGTTTGTCTCATGCTAGTTTTTGTCCTAGTAAACCTGACCTGACCTCATCTTATCTTAATGTTATAGAAATAATTTACACAGATTATTTTTGAAATACTTTGTTTATTGTCACATTACAGTGCATACATCATTGCATTGGACAGTGGCGAAATATAATTTCCAAATAGAAAGACAAAATAATAATTCCTCTAGCGTTATGAGCATTAACACATCCTATTGGTAACCGACAGACAGTAAGCGGGGCACATAGACCAACATTGTTCTTCACATTACTGGGGACAAATCAGATAACGTTATGAAAGAATCTGACATATTACTCCTCTTCGAGGAGACCCATCTGCCTAGGTGTTGTGCTCCTACCCTCGCAGGTCGCCCAAGCCGCTCACCTCTGCCCCCTTGAAATAGACCTGGGCCAGGAAGTGATTCGCCTGTTCGACACAGATTATTTTTAAATAACTAGCCATGCCTTTGAGCTTTTTCATTTGACTATTTTACATAAAAATTACATCTAAGTGATATTCTTTTCTTTAAACGTTTTTGTTGATTATACTGCATTTTGGGGTTAATATTTGGGGCTGTTGTTCTGGGAAATATTACATGAAATGCATTTTTACATGAACTTTTTTTTTTTCATTCATTTGACTTATTTTCTATTCTGCTCAGCTGCATTCGGCTATTCACTTACTGCCGTTCGGCCCCTATGAGAATAGGGGCAAATGGCATCGGGTGAGCTGCCGGAGCATCCAGATGTTGAATCGGCTGAGTCGAACTCCTTCTGCAGCTGATGTACGGCGGATTTTAACCTTTGGCAGCTAAGTGAATAACCCTGTTTGTTTCTGACAAAATTCCAATCTCCCCCACCCCCATATTTGTTTTACATTTTTCACAACATATGTTCACATTTGTTACTCGGTGAGTCAGGGAAGAACATACCTTAAAATAATACTAGCTCCCCAATGTTTTGTTTAATAGAGGAGAATTCTTATTGCTTTCTTCTATAAATTATTATTATCATAGTTGGAAAGGGAATCAATATGTTAGAGGTCATGGTGGATCATAATTACCCTTGAAATGTTTCTTAGAAAAGTAGTATGTTATCCTGACATCTCTAATTCTGGAACTGAGCAGTTCAGTGACCCAAAAGACTGATTTCAAGCGGAGAACTTACTATAACGCAATGGCCTGAGCCTACAAGGTGACAGTGTGACACAAGACTTATTTATAAAGCCTGAGCAAAGGCACAACATAACTACTAACAATATCAGCCAATGTTGCCACTTGTTTTTTTGTTTATTACCTTTATTGTTATATAAAAAAAAAAAAAACTAAAAATGTTGTCTTTCAATATAGCTTATGCTGATCATATACTTAACAATGAAAGAAAGATTGGTATATCTAAAGAAATACATTGATCTTATCAGTATATTCTATTCTGATATCCATTATTTCATGCTGCGAGTATGTTTAAATGTGACACACTTAAAGTTATCCATTTCAAGTAGTAGATGTAAGCCCTAAATGAACGACATTTAGTTTGCAAAAGCACTGTGTGGAATAAACAATTGTCTTTCTTGTCTAAATACAATA